ACCACCTGAGAGGAGGAAGGGAAGCAAGAAAAGAGGTGAGGGTTGAGGGCATTTTGAGGACTGGGGGCTCCTACATATTTAAAATCGACAGAAGGATCCACAGTCAGTAAAAAGGTACGCAGTCACTGCTAGAGTGGTCAAAGTTGACTGACAGGGCCCTGGAGCTGCTCTTCTACAGCCTTGATGAGTATGGGCGTGGGGTCAGCATCACAGGCAGGAATCTGACCCCTAAGTCAGATGATACTAGCCACAGAAAGGGGCTGTCTGTGAGAGGGCAGACTCCCACTGCCCAAGTTCAAGAGTGTGATGTATAAGCCCCAGAGACACCAAGGCAAAAACAAAGGCTCTAACTTAAGAAATTGATCTGTCTACCTAACTAGAAAGTTCACAACTTGACTGAGAGAACTAAGTCATAATCAGAAAGATACTAATCATATCACCTGAACGTTTAATACATCACGAACAGGCTGCCCCTAGCCTCAGCTTCCCTTTTCCTGGACAGGAAGGCACCTTTGCCAGTCTCTCTGCTCCAAGGGCAGGCTAATCGTCCTGAACAGTCACAAACTCTCTTTTAGATATGCTAGCAAATTCAATCAGACCCCCCATCTTCCCTCTGCCTGGAGCCACTAGTCTGTCGGCAGTAAGGTGCCTTTGTTTATCTCTGAGTTCATCTATTCTGGGCTATGCTCCTAACAGCTCCCAGCTCTGCAATCTCCACTGACAGTAAAGATGGTTCGCTTACACCATCGGAGTTGATTTCAAACAGCAGGAGCTGGAGACCAGACTTCCCTTGCTCTATAAGGAGTGGTTAGTAAAAATCTAGGGTTTTGTGGCCCAACAGCCAGCTGTTGCAGCTCAGTCATGTGTTGGGGATAATAAGTCAATGCTAGGAGTGTCTGGGTCCCAGCACTACTTGATTTACAAAAGCAGGCTGATTCGTTCATCCCGGAGAGCCACCCCTCTCTTTTCCTTCATGCAGCCAAGCCCAGAGAATGAACGTCTGTCATCACATGCTGGTTCCTGTAAACTTCCTTCCATAAAGGAAGGAGCAGCCGGGCAGTGGTGGCACATGCCTTTAGTCCCAGCACTTGGGAGGCACTTGGATTTCTGAGTTCGAGGCCAGCCTGGTCTACAAAGTGAGTTCCAGGACAGCCAGGACTACACAGAGAAACCCTGTCTTGAAAAACCAAAAAAAAAAAAAAAAAAAAAGGAAGGACCAGACAGAAATTTCTGACGGGAAGGGATGGCAGTCTCCACTGTGCTCAGAGCCTACAGAGCTTTACAGGTGCTTGGCTATCAATCAAGACTAAACGTTTAATCAAGACTAAACGTTTTCTATGTAGCCTAGGTTGGCCTTAAACTTGCTAATATGAACTAGGCTGGCTTTCCCTCTGCCTCCCAGTGCTTCAAAGGCTTCTCTCATGACGCCAGCTCACAAAGCCAGACTTTTAAAAGATAGCCTGCGGCTGAGGTGTAGCTCAATAGAACTCTAGCCTTGCCCTCAAGAAACCTTAGGTTACAGTCTGGCACCATACTGTAATCTCAGCTCCAATCCCAGCACACAGGAAGGAAGCAGAGGCAACTGGATCTGTGAATTCAAGGCCAGCCTAGACTACGTAGCAAATTCTGGGCTAACCAGGTCTCAAAAGTTAAACAAACAAACAAACCAAAAAAAAAAAAAAAAAAGCTGAGGCCACACAGCACCTCAGTCCTGGAAATACCCTCCCTGACTGTGCACACAAAGAAAAATGGTCTAGATCTCCCTGGTTAGGAGAAAGCTGTAGTCTGGAGCCTACTGTTGGGCCTGCAGACCCCTAGGCACTTAGCAATGAATTCCACCTTTTTTTTTTTTTTTTTTTTTCAGACTCATTTCCAGTCTCAAATTCCTGCTGTGTAACAAGCAGGAATTTCTATCAAGTGATTGCTTCATTCTTTTGCTCTTGACTCCATTTAGGAAAAAAAAAAAATCCCAGGAAATTACGAAACCATGGGGTGAGAGGCAGAGACAGGAGAACAGCTAGCCTGCAAGGGCTACACGGTGATAGCCATCTTCGTTAGAAGGAAACTAAAGAGTTAATAAGGAGAGCATCCGGCCAACTTCTGGCCTCAAGCTAGCTTTCCCCTGCTCTGGAGAGGACCGTCTCCTGTAATGAGTTCAGACCTCTCCTGGAGATAAGGGTCACAGTATTCAGCCAAATTCTAGGAAGAGATCTGTATCCTTTTCATGGTAGCATATAATTAATACTGTTTACAGACCTTCCCTAAGAACACTCCTAACCACCTGGTAAGGGGGTGGCAGAGGCTCTGGTTCTATATATACCAGCCTTGGTTTCTAGAAAATCTGATCTAGAATACCTCTGCCTCATTTTAAAGACACCACGGAAAGGAGAAAATGTGATCATCTTCTAAAAATCCCATTTTCCCCAAAAATTATTTTAAGGAGTATAAAACAAACCTTCAAGGTCACTTCCCACTTTAGCAAGAAAAAAACCCTGTGGTTTCAGTAGCATACCACGCTTCAAACATTTGCTCGCTGTAAGTTCTCTGCCCTGGCTAGAGCAAGAGACAGAGCTGCTGCCACACCATTTATTTCACCTATAGACCCTGAGGTTCCTTCCACCCAAGGGCCGGGATATAGATCGGCAGATGTCCAGTATGCCATGTCCTGAGTTACACACCCAGCACCAAAAAGGGGAATAGGAAGCAAGAGCAGCCTGGGGGACAGTCATTGTCTGTCTCCGCTCCTGGTATATACCAAGGAGCTCAAACGTGTTCAGTCTATATATTTGCAGGCTGGCTTGGCCAAAGGAATCTAAGGGAGGTATTGTTTATGCCTGGGGGTGGTGGCACAGGCCTTTAATCCCAGCACTCCGTAAGCAGAGGCAGGCAGGGATCTTTGAGTCTGAGGCCAGCCTGGTCTACACGGCAAGTTCCAGGACAACCAGGGCTACATAGAAAAACCCTGTGAGAAGGGGAGAATTAGTTAAGGCCAGGTGTGATAAGTGTGTTCCTTTAATCCCAGTACTCAGGAAACAGAGGCAGGTAGATCTCCTGTGTTTTGGGTGAGCCAGGGCTATACAGTAAGATCCTGTCACAAAGTACCAAATGAATATTATTCATGATCACAATGGACTAATTGTACTTTAGTTATTTTGTGTACATGCGTGGAGGCACGTGGGGTCAGAAGTTACCCACCATGTGGGTTACAGGGATTGAAAGGTTATTAGGCTTAGTGACAGACATATATACACTAAGCAATCTCAGAGGCCCTAAAACAGTTTAATAATCTAAATTTTATTAGATCAAAGTAATTACACTACTTTATTTAAATATATGCCTATAACAAAGCTTGTTCTGCATGATGAGACTTGCTGTTACAGTAAAAAGTATACCATAAGTGATATTGTTAAAAGTAAAAATAGCAGTGAACGCTAAGCTAGGGGCCAGCCTGATGAACACATATTGCCAAGGGTCCTGATGAGTTCGCCCACGTGTTAAGGACCTGCTCCAGCCAATTGTCCTTTGACCTCTACACATACGCCTTGGTAAGCACACACAACCAGTTCCTAGGTTCAATTCCTAATAGCGTATAGGGGAAAAAAAGAAAAAGGAGAAAGGAAGAAGAGAAAGGGAAAACAATAGGCACGGTAGTGATAGAATATCCCGTAGTCTCCGCACTTGGAAATTTGGAAGGTAGAGACGGCGATCCAGAGATTGGGACCAGCCTTGGTTACACAGTAAACTGAGCCTACAGAGGGCTACATAAAACCCTAAAAAGAAAACGCACTCTATAAAGCACATAAGGGAACTGAGGCAGCACACCCAAGTTTGAGCTCACAGGTAAGGAAGGGCTGGTTCAACTCTCTGACCCAGAAGCCTGGTGGGTTAGCTCAGCCACCGAATGGTTAAGTAGAACTGTAAACATATTCAAGCTCTAATGCCCTCAGTTGGTCTAATAGATCATTATCCAGTGAGATTAACAAATATAAACTTGTTGAATACACAGAATCACCCTAGGGAAGCTTGGCCAACACCTTTCACAGTGGTCAAGGGAGAACAGTGGAACAGAACACTGTTGAGGCCAAAAGGCAGGATGGGGTGGGGGGGTGGCGGGGGGTGGGGTGGGGGGGTGGGGGTGGAGAACCAGACTGGGAGAAACGGATAGCTTCCTTGGGTTTGGCAGTGTGTCCAGCCAGGAGGAGGGGAATTGGCACCTGTTAGCAGCATAGACAGTGTTTAGGAGGTGCTCACCAGCTATCTTGACTGACTGACAGCTGCAAGTTATAAGTGTTCGACACTAAGCCTGAAGCATTAAGATTCTTGCTCCCAGTCCCAAAGAATATTGCCCAGTGAGGACTTGATCCACCATTATCCTCTCTACTCACCTGCACAGAGGGAAGCTCTGGGACTCCTGAACACATTCATCAAGAAGAAAAAGCAGAATACCCCAGGGCTATCAGCATGTGACCCTAGTGATATGCAAATATATGGAAAAATAGCCCAAAGCCGCCAGGATCCCAGTCAGTTCCTGTCCACGTGAAAACGGGCCTACCTTTCTACTTGTGCGATTAACATAGAAGCAAACAGGCGTCTAAGTATGAAATAGTGAGGCAAATAATGATAACACCACACACACACACACACACACACACACACACGCCCCCTCGACCCAAACACAAAAATAGGCTTTTGGAGGGAGGGCTGATACATTGGACAGTATCCATGGTGAGAGCTGTCCAGGCTCAGGTATTCCTGTGGATCTTTCAACGGCGTTTCAGGGATGACGCAGGAAGAAACATGCTCTATCTACGAGTCTTACAGTTGGAATCCTTGTCTAGAATCCCCGAATGAGAAACATCAAGACACAGAACCGGAGACCTCTAGACCACCTCTGCCCCCAGGAAACTAGACTTGGATTTAAGGGAATAACCCAACTAGACCTGTAGATCAAGGTCCCCACCCACAGCCCGAATCCAGATCTCGCACTGCCCACCACCCACCTTGAATGGTTCTCTTGAAGAACGCCTTGCAAGCCTCGCAGGAGGCCACTCCGTAGTGGTAGCCAGAGGCAATGTCCCCGCACACGAGGCACAGGCGCTTGGGGATGGCGTTAAGCATGTACTCGCACTTGATGGCCGAGTCCTCCATGATACCACTAGTACAGTCCTCGTAGCTCTTGCGGCACGGGTTGCCTCCCAGCCCCGCACCTGCGAACATAGGCGGCGAGTCCAGACCGTTGGCGTGGGTGCCCAGGGCCATGCCAAAGCCACCGCTGGCGTCCGACGAGCCGCTGGGGCTGTGGTGGCTGAGGGCATCAATACCCGAGGACGGGCTAGATGGCTCCGTCTTGATAAAGGAGCCGCAGCTAGAGCCCAGGTGCCTGTCTTCGGATGACATTCGGTTCAGCATCCTGCGGACACAGAACGGAGGAGTCAGTTCTAAGCAAGGTGAGAAGGTGGGCGGAAGTCAGTTCTAAGCACTCTGAGAGGGTGGGCGGGGCGCCGGCCTAGTGGGCGGGCCACATGGGCGTATCTACAGGTAAGCCGTAGGGAAGCACAATGATGGCCAGGTCAGTAGATGTTTCCCAGAAAAGTCTCTGCGACTTCAGAGTGCTAAGAAACTTTTAATTCGTCAACTTCAAATCAGACAACCTGCCTTTTGCAAACTGCTGGCCTAAGGGTGACAATATGCTAACTGTCCCTCCTAAATGTTTGGCCAACCTGCCCACCTGACAAAAAGAGGAAGCCGCACCAAGTGTACCTGCCCCAAGCACTGAGCCTCACCTCCATCACTCACAGTAAAAGGGCCTTTTAGACCTTTTCACAGTATCTTCCAACCCCACAGAGTTGTGAAGTCCAAGCTTGGGATTTGCCTCAATAATAACTCTCAGTCACCAAGACTGCCAAGTTTTCTAACCCGACCAAGAGGGGCAGTTTAACCCAAAGGCACCAAGTGAGTTTTGACCTGTGATCCAGACTGGATAATAGAGGTCCCATCTAAAGTGTAGTTTCCTGATCTTGTTTTCTCTTCTTCTGCTTTTTTTGTTTATTTTGTTTTGTTTTGTTTTGTTTTGTTTGAGACAGGGTTTCTCTGTGTAGTTCTGGCCACTGCCTCTGCCCCAACCCCTGGGGGTCTGGGATTAAATCTGTGCTCCACCACTGCCCAGATTCTATTTTTCCTTCTTAGCCCCAGGATAATACACCTTGCACCCAGCCCCTCTGGCCCCCAGGTCCCCAAAAGACTATCTCCATTAGAACGTGTGAGGGAATCAGCCAAACCTAAGTCTACACAGCGCTTCTGCTTCCTACTCCCTCTCTTTTTGAGATGGAACCTCTGAGAGTAGTAGTCCTGGCTGGCCTAGAATTCATTAAGTAGCTCAGGCTAACCTCAAACTCTATATCGTATTGCCTCTACCAACAAGGAACCGAACCACAGGTCTGCAACACCATGTAACTTTATAGAGCCATTCTGTGTAGCCCTGGCTGGCCTAGAACTGACTATGTAGACTGGGCTAGGCTCAAACTCACAGAGATCTGCTTGTCTCTGCCTCCCAAGCGCTGGGACTAAAGGCATGTCCCTCTAGGCCTGGCAAGCCACCATCTAACACTTAGCCAGAGTTTTTTTTTTTTTTTTCTCTTAGAGATTAAGCACCCACCCACCCATAACTCACATCAGCTCAAATGCATTCTACCCATCACGTACACCCCTTCCTTTCACCTCAAGTTTTGTTTGTTTTTTTCCCCCAGAACCTTCAGGAATGCTTTGGAGCCTCGCCAATACATCAGATCATCTGGGATCCCCGAAAACTGTGGGGTAATCATGCCTTCTCGGTTACCGGGAGTCCTTTCTCTCCAGCCAAGTTCTTGTAAAGGGGACTGGACTGAAGGAACATTCAGGGGAACCTAGTTGTTCACCACGTTCAGTTAGGATTTGGGTCTGAGGCAGGAGGCCTAAGTAGATTGTCTCAAAAACTGTCTCCCGCCAGGCATGGTGGCACATCAGAGGCAGAGACATTAAGATCTCAAGTTTGGGGACAGCCTGGTCTACACAAAGAGTTCCAGGACAGTCAGGACTGCAATGAGAGACCCTCTCTCCAACAAACAAAACCATCTAGAGGTGTGATCCCTGAAAGTAGCCTGGATCTCAGGAGAGAGTTGGTACAAGCTTAGGTGTCCAGAACCAGGGATAGGGAGCAGTGGGGAAACAACACAAAAAGAAAGACTCCTGGATAGGAAGAAGATCTCAGAGCCAAAGGCTCCTGTACCACTTGAAGGTAACTCCCTTGTGAGATCCTCTTTTTTGTAAAGTGCCTATGAAAAGGGTCACTCTGTAGGGAATGGGGGTGCCTTTGTCATTACACCTACATAACAATCTCTGGTCTAGCCTCAAACAGAGACCACAGAGTTGGTGACACGACTGGGCGTTTGATCCCACCAAAGTGCAAAGACACTCAGCACACCTCCTGAGTGTGTCACTCACTCATCTGCACATGAACTTGTATATAGAGAGGTTGTTAGCATTCTGTCTTTTAAACTCCACCCCCACAGTTACGTGGCAATAGCCGGGCAGGCTTGGCCCACTATAAAAGGGGCTGCTTGTCTCCTCCTCCTTCTCTCTCTCTCTCTCTCTCCCTCTCTCTCTCTCTCTCTCTCTCTCTTGCTCTTCTCCTGCCTCTAGCGTCTCTCTGTCCCCTTGCCCCTCCTCCTTCCCCCCCATCCATCCATATGCTCATGGCCGGCCTCTACTTCTCTTCTCTTCCCTTCCCTTCCCTTCCCTTCCCTTCCCTTCCCTTCCCTTCCCTT